CAGTTGTGCTATTTTCTACTCAGTAGAACTACCATCTTTGTTACATCTTAAATTCTCATATATGCTAGGATTGATTTCTAACTTGTTCTGTTTATTGATGTTTGTGTATTCCTGTACCAATACTGTTTTCGTTAAAGAAGCTTTGAGTTATGTTATAGTATCTGGTAAAAAGCAAATCTTTTTTTCCACTGTTTCCTATTTCATTTTTCTAGTACTTTTTTTTTTTTTTTTTTTTAGTATTTTTCTTTTTCTAGTATTCTAGTCTTGCATATTTAATCTTCCATATAAAGCTTAGTCATTTTCTCCAATCTCACCATCACCCTATATGGTTATTTAGGGTTTCTAATTTGGATTACATTTACTTTATTATTAATCTAGGTTATAAATTACATTGTTATAATATCTTTACATCTGAGAATATGGTATGTCTTTCCACTTGTCTAGATCTTATTTTATGTCTGTTAAAGACTTCAGAGTTGCCTTCATGTATGTCTTGTTCCTCTTTTGTTAAATTTATTCGTAAGAATTATCTTAGGGTTAATATGGTATTTTCTGTAGCAAATCGAACTTTTTTTTTCTTATTTCCATTTCTCGGTAGCTAATAGCTACAATAGAGAATAGATTCTAATTTTTAAAAAATTCTCTTATCTACCTCTTGATATTTTGATCAATCTTCCTAGTTTTCTACTAGCATCTTTTGAGATTTTTTTAGGTGTCAGCAACAAAAACAGTTTGACTTCCTTTTTCACTGTTTATGAACGCTACTGAATTTTCTTGGTTTTGTTTTTGCATTTGATAGAAGCGTTATGACAATGTTAAATGATAGTGGTGATAACTAACGTTCCTATCAAGTTCCTGATTTTAATTAAAATGGTTTTAGTTTGTTAAAACTTTTGGAAAGCATGCTATTCAGTTTTTCTTTTGGTAAATACTTTTTATGTTATTTAAATGATTTTATTCTATTCCGGCTTTGATTTTTTTTGGGGGGGGGGATGTCTGCTGAAATTTTATGAAGCGCTTATTCAGAACTTAATATGATTTTCTTTAATTTGTTGTTGGAGTAGATAGGTAATCTGTCAACATAGGATAGATGTCTTGATATTGAACTACCCTTGGCTTCATGAAATAAATTTCTAGAGACCAAATACTCCTAGATTCTTTGTTTTCTGTTCTTTCATATATTTGAACAAGGGTTCCTCAACATTGGTCTCCATGCAGAACCTGTCAGGTGCAGGGGGAAGAAACCTTAATAAATAATCCAGAGGGACTTCCATGGCCTCTCTTACTCCCACTTGTAAGACCTATAGCTCTTTGGGTCTAGTGAGATAAATAAGTTGGAGTTGAGAATGGAAGGAAAAGAGGGCACTTTCTGATCTCCAATTTCCAGAATTATCCTCTGGTCCTTTCTTTTGACTATTTTTCACCTTTTATGTCAATGACTCTTTCTGTTTCTTTTATTTACTTTGCTTAGTACCAAAAATTTACATCAGAACTGCTTCCTTAACAGATGCTTTTAATAATAAGAGAAAAATGAAATAGCCACATATGTTTCTTATGTTTCTCTTTCTTTCCCTCCAGTCAGCCTTTGTTTTCTAAAACCTGTTTGCATTGTTTCCTCTAGTGATTTTAGTGGTACACTTCAGCGTTGATAGTCTTTTGCCACAGATTTCAAGCTTTTATCCAGAACCAAGACTATTAGCATGCCCATATTACCAGTATTTACATTTCTGATTGTCTAAGGGAAGCCCTGGAGGCCCAGCCACATTTTACCAGTCTGGGAAAATAATTTAAATATTTAATTATACTTTATTATGCAGATTGTTTTGTTTTTAATTAAAAACCTCTTCCTGGTGGATTTAGTAATAGTCGAGGATTTAATAATACTTAATCATAAGAACCTCCTGTGGATACCAAACTAAAAGGGGATCAAGTTAGCAAAAAGAGCACTGGCCATGAAATTAGGATGTCTGAATACTAGTTTAAGCTCTGCCTCTAGCTTATGTGAACTCAAATGAGGTTCTGCACCTGTTAACATTCATTTTCTCTTCTCTGAAATGAGGTTGCTGAAGGAAATGTTGATCTTCCTTTAAGCTTTAACATTCAGGAAAATGAGGTGGTGTGTTTGAGTCCTGCACCCCAGAATAGCCCATGATTCCACTGTTTCACAGCTCAGTATTCTTGCTGTATGATTCTGTAAGAAAATAGATTGTCAGTGAACTTTTAGAACGTTATCATCTGCTCCCATACAGCAGGTGCCATAGTGGGTCTTTTGTAGGCTAAATGTTTGTGTCTCCCCCAAAGTCATATGTCGAAATCCTAACCACACAATGTGATGGTGTTTGAAATTGGGGCCTTTGAGAAGAAATTAGGTCAAGAGGGTGGAGCCCTCATGAATGTAATTAATATCCTTATACAAAAGACCCTAGAAAGTTCCCTTGTCCCTTCTGCCACGTGAAGACACAGCAGAAGATGGCTGTGGTTCTCACCAGACACTGAATCTGCCAGTGCCTTGATCTTGGACTTCCAAGTCTCCAGAACTGTGAGAAATAAATTTCTGTTGTTTGTAAGCAATTCTGTCTATAGTATTTTTGTTACAGCATCCTGAATGGACTAAGACAGGGTGCTTTCAAATTGTTATTTGTGAAAATAATTTTAAGTCTCCATATCCCTTCTTTGTAAATTCATGTACCCTCCCCTCTCGTAAGTTTCTGTAAGTTCTATCTGTCCAAGCAGTTTTCAAGACTGAAACTTATCAGGTTTGGTCATATTAAAACTGCCGATATTTAGCAATGTTTGATCTACAAGCAGGCAGTTTCATATGCACCAGTGTCATAATTATAGGTGAATTAAACTGTTATCCTACTACGGTTTTACTTGAAAGGTCTTCCCATATAAAAGCAGAATTTCCTGTTGTTTTTTGAGGCATTTGTTATTTAGTCAATCAGAAATACCTTTGAAAGCCTGCTTTGTGCAAGCCCTGTGTTAGGTCTCATGGATATGCCCATGAATAAAATACACCTGTTCACTGGTTTGGAGTCTGCAGTCTCATGAGGGAAATGGGCAGTTAACTAACCACTTGCAGTAAGGTTGCATGAGGGTTATTGAAGAGAAAACAATTACAGTTGTGTGTGTACAGCAGATGACAAGATGGACTTCTCATCTAAGGGTACAGAAAGTTCTCTTGTTCAGAAATTATCCAGGGAGGGGGATTTGCGGGGTAGTATGGAGGGGCTGCATGGCATATATGGTGATAAAAGTCAGAGGGGAAAGCACATTCTCAAAGGTGAAAAAGAGCTTGGCAAGTTCACAGAGTATGAAAGTAGGTAAAGCCAGAGAAGGTAGCTAGGTGCCAGATCTTAGAAAACTGAAATTAGGCATATTTAAGATTACAGGTAATAGAAAGTCACTGAAGCATTTTAAGCAAGCCAATCATATATTCAGGTTTGGAAGGCAGTATGCAAAGTAGTTTAGAGTGTCCATCTTAAAGGCAAACTGTCTTGATTCAGATCCTAGTTCTTCTGTATTCAAGCCATTGACATCGGGCAGTTTAGCAATAAATTTGTTTCCTTACCGGTAAAATAAGATAATAATAGTACCTTATTTGTAGAATTGTTAGAATTAACTTAGATGATGCATGAATATAGTACAATTCACAGCCCTAGTAAGTATAAATTATCACTTAGTTGTTGTTTGTATTATTATTGAGTTAGGATAGAGTAAGATTAATTGCAGGAAAACTTGTTAGTAATTCAGGCAAGAGATAATTGTGGTTTGGCCTGTAGTAGTAGCAGAAGGATAGAGAAAGGGATACTACTTGAGAGAAATTTCAGAGGTAGAATCCTTGACACTTGGTGGTTGAATGAATGTGCAAGGTAAGGGAGAAGGAGGATTAAAAGATGAGTCAAAGTACCTTAAAGTGGCTTTGGAATGATGTTGACATAAATACCACCCACATCAGCTGCACTAAAATAATATGTTAAACAAATCAACATTTAAAGCTCGTTTTTCCTAAATCATAAGTGATAGATAAGCCAAGAAGTGACTGTTAGGAATTTGAGGAACCGAGATTGATGCTTTGTCATCTGTGCTAGATAAACTGCTGAATAGGGTGGGAGAAGAATAAATATAATTTGAACAGTCTTGTCCCTTTTTCTTGTTTCATGTTTCCTTTTTCTTTCTGCCATTTTTCCTTTTAAGCTCTGTGATTTGGTTATTTTAATTTTTTAGTATTAGGTTGAGCCATATAGAAGTTGCCATTTTTGTAGATCTGCAAACATTTAACCAGAAATGAAATGGTTAAATAGTAACAATTTCATATGGTTCATTTAGTTATAATCTCATTCTGTAAAAAATTTTAGCTGGGTCTCTAAGGGTCCATTTTGAGTTAAATTGAAAGAATAGTTAAAAGACTGAAGGTAGTTCAGTGATGGTGTAAGGACAAGCTGAGCCCCATGAAGTAGATGACTTAAACCTGGCACCATCTATTCAGTATGGCTCTGGGATGTCATCTTGCAGCCAGGTTTTTTTGTTAGCTTTACCAAAAGGAACATGTAATGTATTATTTTGGCTATTTTTTTAAACCTTATTATGAAAATAGAACATAGAAATTAGGAAATTCACAAAACATAAAAAACCATAAAGAGGAAAATAAAAAATCACTTGTAATCCCACCATCCAATGAAAAGTAGAATTGATTTTCAATGTATTTTCTTCCAGTCATACATACAGAAATACAGTCTATTTTATAAAAGTGAACAAACACCTATGAGACTACATTATTTTAAAAAGGCAATGTAAATATAGATTTTTGTGAGGGCATGGATTTATTGCCCCCCCATGTTATTAATAATTTATCTCCTCTGAAGGAGGAGATACAAATCCAAAACATTTGACTCTTGACTGATTTTTTTTAAAGTTTCTAATGTGAATATTTTGATTATAGCTCCAAGAGTGGTTTTACTAAAATAGAAACAAAATTGAAAGAGCTATTATTATACTAATGGTAATGTAATGGCTTGTGGTTTCATTGCATTTTTGTTACATTTTGAATTCTTTAAAATTATCAGTTAATAATCTCAGTAATACATGAGAAACCTGAGATGCAGAGAGAGTAAGTTACACACAAATATACAAGTAGTTAGAAAAGCATGGACCCTTGACTTTGGTGAATGCTTTTTTCATTTATTGAAGTAACAGCTCTCAGAAACCATACTTTTTTTCATGGAATATTCATTAAGCACTCAAAATATAGGAGTTCAAAATTAAAGTCTATGGCAAAAGTATAGAATAGTGAATAACCTGGAGGGCAAGGTATTTGGGGACGTGGAATAGTGAGATCAGATTGGAAAGGCAGCCATTAACTCTTCTTGAATAATGGAGTTCATAATAACCATAATTAAGCATGTGTTGTTGGATGTTTAATCAGGCAGAAATAAGTAAATTAGAAAAATGAACAGATCTAGAAGTCCAGACAATATTTGGTGATGGCCTAAGGTATGATATTAAAAATTGAAAGGAGGAAATGAATTTGAGAGCCGTTATAGAAATAGATTCCCAGGATGTGGTGACTAAGAACAGTATATTAAGGGAGAGAGTAGTTAAAGATGTTTCCTAAGTTTCATATCTGAGTGCTTCGGGAAATGTTGGGAAAAAATGAAAGAGGCTTATTTGGTGAGGAAAATGTATTTATCTTTGGACATGCTGTGGTTGAAGTCTCTACAGGACATCCAGGTGGAAGATGTGTGACTAACAGGCAAATTGTAGATGAAAAGGGGAGCTCAGGAGTGAAGCCAGGGCTGAAGACACAAGAAATTATTGGTGTAGTGGGAATAATTGGTGACGTGTCATCATTCCTTCTTTTCAGGTATCTTCACTGCCTTACATATGTACAGCCTCAGTGTATTTAAGGAATGTATCCAAATAACTGTTGTTACTGCCCTTAGAACTGGGCAATCAGTCACCTTAAGAGAAGGCATCTTAGGATTCAGAGAAGCCCAGTCTCAGGCAACACAGTGTGATTGGTGGGAAAACACAGACTATTTAGAAAGGCTGTTTGAGTGGTATGAAAGAAAGTAAAGTTATATACCCTGTATGTGCTAAATATTGTTCAGCTTTTTTGTATATACTGTCTTTATTGCTTAACAACCCTATGAAATAAGGAGTACAATCCTCATTTCACAGATGATGAAACTGAAGCTAAATAATATTAGAGCAAGGATTTGAGCCAGTTGGGTGTTCAGTGCCATTGGTCTTTTTTGCTGTGCCTCACTTTGCCATCTTTTCCAGTAAGATCTGTCAAATATAGCTATCAAGCTTATTATGTTCAGTAGGGTTGTGAGTTCAATAGGGTTTGTCTTCATGTAAAAAGCACAGTGCTTCAAATCTTAAAATGTAATTAATTGGATTCAGATAATGAGTGGACATTGCCTGCAATGAGAAAGCATGTGTATAAAACGAAAAATGAAAGTTGGATCACATCGTATATCTCCATCCAGATGTGCAGACCTTCTGGAATGTTTATAAATGTCAACATTTATTTCTTTTTCTCTACTGAGTATGTGAAACTACTTAGAAGAATGAATTGATAGACCAGAGATACCTGGAAGAAAAAATTCTAAAAAATACACGTTTCTAATTAACTAAAAATTGTCATTATTAATACTCCCAATTAGCTGACAATTGTCACTCTGTGACATCACCTGAAGAGCCACAGCATAATCCCAATTTGCCTTGTGTTAAGTAGGCACAAACAAGATTGTTTATTCTAAGATACAAAGACTAGTTTGTGCCATGAAACTTCCTGCAGTTTTCAGACAGGGTGGGGTAGAAGTGGGTGCATTTACTTGTCCGTCTTTTGTTTGTGTATTTGTGTACCACTTCTCAGCAAAGGAGAAGCAAGTAATGACATCTCAAAACGATAGGATAGTGTCAAATACAGAAAAATGTAATTCATCTTTTATGTGTGTGCTATTTCTGTGGTATTCAGAATGGGTGGGATTTTCATTATTTATTTTTTCTCTTGAAAACCTAATTTTTAAGTTTTGCTTGTTACTTTGGTCATCTTTCTTAAAATGGATTAATTCTAGTGAATCATGAGAGAAAATTAATGCTAAATATATAGTTTTCTAGCTAGAACTTCTCGTACTGTGTTATGTTTCCCTAGTTGCCAAGCACTGTTAATACACTTTCATTCTTTAACACTGCTCTTTGTTCCTTGGGAAATGCTACAAGAAAATCGGAATTTCCTCTCACCATTACCCCTTTGGCAGTGTGTTTTGATACAATTCCTGGCTGACTCTCTGTCCTGGTTGCCACCCCTTATCCTTACTAGCAGTCTAACTTCGGCTCATAGACTAAAAGGGGGATTCCGGACAGACGAGGAAACAGCTTTCAAACCCTACACTGCAGGCGTATTAAGTTATTCTCCCACTGTGCAGTCTGGAAATCGGGGAGCACTTCTCTGGCGATGCATTCTAATGAGCTGCTGAAGAAGATGCTGGAGTGTGTGCCTGCACAGGCGTTTTCTTTCCCCTCCCCCGCTTCTTCCTTTTCCCAAGCCCCCTTTTCTCCCTGTTTCCCCTCCTACTCCTTTATCCCCTCCCTCTGTGTCTCAGTTCTGCAGTAAACGGGGCTGAGGCACATTCCTGCTTTTCGAGGCTTTCTGTTAAGGATGTTCTGTGGCTTTTGTTTGGATCGCAGCATGCAGAATTACAGGTAACACTCTGAAATTAAGCTAGGCAGATCAGTGCTGTTGAAATATTTTCTAAGTCAAAATATTACATTGGAATCAATGAAGAAAATAAGTTATCTTAGCTAATTTTATTAGTGGTAATTATAGTAAAATGTGTTTAGAAATGCTGTAAACAGATTCCTTTCCTCCCCTAATAGGCTCAAATGAAAGGAAATGGGGTTTTTTTAGATTGATCTGGCTTGCGATTGATTTTGTTTTATGTTGATCATGAAAGCTTGCTGTTGCTCTGCCTCCTCTACAGAGTAAGGACCAGTTATGTGGGGTGCTACTGAGGGTAGCCTTTGAATAATTGTACCAAGTAGGGTGGGATGAAGTGGGAGGGGTGATACCAGCCTGAGCTAGCCAGGTTCTTGATTAGGGCATTGGATGCAAAATGTAAAATGCTCTCTCCTTTTCTTCTATCAGCTGTTCAGAGGAGACTCATTACAACTCCTGCTGAAGTCCTAATCTTCCTCCCTTCTCTTCTCCCCCTACCCCCTACCCTCATTGGCCTGAAGACATTGTACCCAGAGTTTGCCTTACTCCCCTGGTGCTATGTGTATGGTAAACCTGGTACTATGGCTGCATCTGGGACTGGCCAGACAACTGCTGCTGGTTCTCCCTATTCCAAGAAGGATTTAAAGGGGAATTGCACTGCAGGCAATGCACCAGAGCAGCAGCATCGGGAGCTTGGGGACTAAGGCTCCTCTGGCATTATTACAGACACACAGAGCTGACCGCAATGACAGCAGCTGTTCCTTTGAACTGTTGGCAGCAGCCAAGCGGCAGCATGAAGTGAGAGATCACTCCTGAGCTCAAGATGAATTCTACCTTGGATGGTAATCAGAGCAGCCACCCTTTTTGCCTCTTGGCATTTGGCTTTCTGGAAACTGTCGATTTTTGCCTCTTGGAAGTATTGATCATTGTCTTTTTAACTGTGTTGATTATTTCTGGCAACATCATTGTGATTTTTGTATTTCACTGTGCACCTTTGTTGAACCACCACACTACAAGTTATTTTATCCAGACTATGGCATACGCTGACCTCTTGGTTGGGGTAAGCTGCCTAGTCCCTTCTTTATCACTCCTCCACTATCCACTTCCAGTAGAGGAGTCCTTGATTTGCCAGGTATTTGGTTTTGTAGTATCAGTTCTGAAGAGTGTCTCCATGACCTCTCTGGCCTGCATCAGCATCGATAGATACATTGCCATCACTAAACCTTTAACCTATAATACCCTGGTTACGCCCTGGAGACTACGCCTGTGTATTTTCCTGATTTGGCTATACTCCACCCTGGTCTTCTTGCCTTCCTTTTTCCACTGGGGCAAACCTGGATATCATGGAGATGTGTTTCAGTGGTGTGCGGAATCCTGGCACACCGACCCCTACTTCACCCTGTTCATCGTGATGATGTTATATGCCCCAGCAGCCCTCATTGTGTGCTTCACCTATTTCAACATCTTCCGCATCTGCCAGCAGCACACAAAGGAAATCAGCGAAAGGCAAGCCCGCTTCAGCAGCCAGAGTGGGGAAGCTGGGGAGATGCAGGCCTGTCCCGATAAGCGCTATGCCATGGTCTTGTTCCGAATTACTAGTGTATTTTACATCCTCTGGTTGCCGTACATCATCTACTTTTTGTTGGAGAGCTCCACTGGCCACAGCAACCGCTCCGCATCCTTCTTGACCACCTGGCTTGCTATTAGTAACAGTTTCTGCAACTGTGTCATTTATAGCCTTTCCAACAGCGTCTTCCAAAGGGGACTAAAGCGCCTTTCAGGGGCCATGTGTACTTCTTGTGCAAGTCAGACAATAACTAAGGACCCTTACACAGTTAGGAGCAAAGGCCCCCTTACTGGATGCCATGTCTGAAGTGCTTCAGATATTGGGTCACTGTGCGTTCTGTGTGTGTGTGTTTCTGTTTGCTTTTTATCTCTTTGTATATCTAGTTCGCTGGGAAGTAAGGGACAAAATAACTTGACTCTAAGCAACAGCAAACAAATGATCCGTCCCAAACACCTTGTAAGTTTACAGAAATGATTTTTTTTAATGCTTTTGAATGAGAAGAATCAGGACCATCAAGATAAATTGCTCTTGGTTCCAGTTTTCATAATGTCATGGAAATGACTTTCTCAGACTTAGAATGGATAAAGTCGTATCTGACACCTCTTTCCAGCTGGCATGACTGAATCTGGGTGTGAAAAGCGTCAGCGTTTGTAAAAGTCATCATCTTGTCGCTTTCCTGGTTTTTTCCCAGCTGTTTGGGCTTCATGTGCAGTTGATTTCTTTTAAAACAGGGAATATTAAAATACAGTGATGAATTAACAGGGTTTTAAAATTTTCTTTACATAGGCCAAAGTATAACTACACTGCAGGCTTCTACACTGTCATTCATAAGACAGATGTTGTATGTCTTATACTCGAGAGAATTCTCAATACAGTAAATAATGTGAACACTTAAACATTAATTTAAAAATTTTGAATGGAACCATGAAGCAAAAGTGCAGTCAATTATTCAATTTATTTAAAAAAAAAACTAAGCTGTTTTTTGTGCCATGCTTCACTGAGATCTAAAGAAATGTGTGTACTGAAAATAATTATGTTGCAGTATTTTTGCCCGTGCCTTTGTGTGAATTGAGAATGTTTGAATTGAGTTAGATATCTCTTTTACAGCACAATATGTTTTGATAAGCTGAAAAGTAATTAAGTGATAGGCTGATGGCTACCAGTTTTATAGTGGTGAAAATACATGAAAATGTGTCTTTAGTCTTCTCTGCTCTTTTTATCCGGAGACTTTTTTGAAATATTAGAATATCAGGAAGAAAGGTGTCGTAAGCAACGGAGTCAGAAAATACACTGTACATTTAGCTAGTTCATTTTAAAATAGAAAGGGGTTAATTGTGATGTTCTCCTTATGGTTAAAAGGGATCACCTAATAAAGTAGCAACTAATTCTTTTTAAAGGCATTTTTTTTTTAGTTAGTGTTAAGGAATTTGTATTTGAATGAGAGACAGAAGTTTTGATTATCTCTCTTATTGCTGTTCTCTTTCTGGGAAAAAGATCTTTGGGATATAGTTCCTTTCCTAAATAGTATTTTTTTTAAACCAAAGTACTAGCAAAAGCTATAGGATTTTATTACTGTTGTTTTGTAGAATTATTAATTGAGAATGCTGTGTATTTGTATGTAGTAGTGATGTTTTGTTCCTAAAAGTGATTATATTTAGAGCAAGAGGTTTATTTTTCTAAAAAGAGAAGGATTTCCCAGCAGCTCCAAGCATGAGAGTATTTCCTCTACTTTTTTTTTTTTTTTTTTTTTTTTTTTTTTTACTGGTTTTAATGTTTTGGAAGTCTTCAGGGGACTTGTATGATCTCTGCCTTTGGCTAGATATTGTAATCTAAATGTGACACTGGTGTTCAGTGAGATGGAAGATGGAAGAAAACAAAGGAAAGTGGGTTAAAGTGAATTTTTGAATCTAAGAAATGACATGGATATTTATAAAACAGGCAGATATGCTTTGGTTTTCCATCGTATTAGAAAACCTCCTGTCCCTTTTTAAAATAAAAGACAGCATTCTTGCAACTTTTAAGTTTTAGATACTGATTTGATTTTAACCTCAAATGTATTCTACTTAAACATTTTTAAGACAATAACTGTTAATATAAACATTGAAACTTCAGATTCTGAGTTCTTCCCAAAAGCTTACTCTTTATATTTAGTGTTAGAAAATTTGATTCTAACCTGTTTCAGAATTCAGAACTCACAGTGAAATTTATAAGTAATGTTAGCAGTGGCTTTATTAAATTGCCGTTTGAAGTGGAAAACCTTCCTGTTAGATTCTGAAAAATAGTTGTACACGTTTCCCCTTTATTTATGTGGCAAAGATATTAAAAAAGATAAAAACTTCCTTTTTTCCTATATGTCAGAAAATGTAACCTGTTCAAATTTGCACAGTTTGCAAGTGAATATTTTGTTCAGCAGGTATGGGATTTGTAAAGATTAATTTTTATAAAAAATGATGTTAAATCAGTAGATTTTACTTTGGGAGAAACTGAGCCTTTTAAATTTTTTCCTGCAGTAGGGTTCCATCTTGTGAGAAAATAAAAAATTTTGGAAAATATTTTATGGAAATTTTATGAAAATGAGAAAATATCTGTTTAATTTTCTGGAAATGGCTAATCAGGCTGATTTTTTAATGACTGGAAAGACCATTCTTTCAATAAGAGCTTTAATTAACAGATTTTTATATTTTTATCCTAGAACCAAATTTAGATGTTAGAAGTCCTCCCTGCCACCTTAGAATCTCTACCAGTGTTTTACCTAAAACTAAAGTAGAAGGTAAATTGTAATTTTAACAAAAAATAAAGCACCCCTCCCCAACTGATATTTGCTTAATATCAGATGTCTTCCTAGTTTATCTTGTCTTCATGGGACTGTATAAAACTCTTAAGGTTTCTTCCAGGTATCAATTCTTTCCTCACATTCGTTGTCTATACTGCTTTTTAATTTTTGTTTTCTTGTGTATGTGCATGCTGGGGGCAGAAAGGGTGTGCCTGGATGCAGTCATACAGTCTTCTGTGGCTGGGGGCAGTTTCTGTGTGATCGATTTGGAAAGTCTGTATTTAAGTAACCTTTTCATCCTGGCATATTTATTGCAACATTTGATGATGTTTTGTTTAAATACCAATCTGACTAGTTCAGAATGAGAAAGAAATGTATTTTTAGAGTCAGTTACCTTGGGCTTTGGCAAGACAGCTCATTTAACTTTATATGGTATATGATTGATACCGGAGAAAGCATAAGCTTTTGGTATTTGTGCTGAAATTATTTTACCGTAAAATTTTAAAATAAGACTATACTAATTGTTATATTTGTAATTAATTGTATGTTTTAATAGAATTATTTCCATAAGGGTGTGTTTTTTCCCCTCTTAGAGCCGAAAAGCAATTACAAAAGGATGGGTGCTCCACTTTAATGAAAGAATTATCTTACACCAGAATGGATATTTGAATTTTTCATGGACCTGTTGGCTTTAACCCTGAATTCCATTTTGGAAAGGGTTTTCTTTAAGCTTTATTGCTTGATAAATTCCTTTTTGAGCCTTTATTAACGGCTTTTCCTTTTTACTTGAATAATGGTCTCAGTATTTTAAGGATTGGGAAAACTTGAATTTTTGTACTATTTGCATACATTACTGTTCACCTCTCTGAACTTGAAAATGAAACAACAGGGTTACAGGTTCCCAGACAGTAAGTGGTTTCTGGGAGCGTTTCCTCAGCTTTTCAGGTTTGATTGAAACATCTATTTAATGACTTTGTAGGAATTTCACTATGTGTTTTTGTATCATAAAAGATTTGTGAAATAAATTATTAACAAACCAGAATTTATTGTTGTATGAGGAAATTTGGAGAAGCTTAAGGATGGCAGTGAATCATGGGATTACGAGTTTTTTTTTTAGTCTTCATAAATCATTCTTTGTGTTGATTTTTGCATAATTTTTCCATTTCAGGTTGAAGAAAAACTAAGTATTTTGTATTAAATGTACATATTATTAATATGTTTTGTAGACCCAAGGAATATTCTAGATATTTATTATGGCTGTAAATGAGTCATTTGGCTTTTCTTCAAAATTTGGGTGACTAGGGCATCATGGGATTAAAATGAACTTTGAACTGAGAATTTTAAAATCTAGGTATCTGTTACTAATTAACTTGTTTTGTAAGGGCAAGTTGCTTCTCTCAGCACTTAATTTCTTCTATAAAAGATCATAATCCTTTCATTCTTCACAAGATTACTTTGAGGACTGAATTAGACAACAGATGTAAAAGTACTTTGTGACATGTAAAGTGCTTTGCAAATAAAACTGAGTACTGTTATTTGTATCTGCCATAGTTTTATATCTAAGGAAGTCATGCATAGTGATGTGGTGTTTCCCCACATTAAGGTCATTGAAGTTCAATGCTAGGTGACTATTCCATGCTGCTTAGCAATCACAAATTTGAGAAGAGAGGTATGGTAAATTCTCACTCCTCTAAAATGGCAATAAATTTAAATTCAACACAAAACTGTTTCATTTACTCCCTTTATTGTCTCCAGAGTCTCTAAAGGCAGGGACAGTGTCTCTCCGTATTTTTATCTCCCACAGCTAGCATAGGACCTGGCTCAAAGCTGAAGTTTTAGTAAGTTTTACAGAACTAATGAATGACCCTTCCTAATTATTTCTTATAGTCACTGTTATTACTTCTGGTTATTATAGAGTAATGATGTTCAAAGGGTAGTCCAGAACCTGTAAGCCAATTTCCATTTGGTCAAGGCCATTCTAGAGTCTAAGTAATAAATATCTCTTTTTAGTACCAAGAGAGTAGTGTGGGAATACATGTGCGCTAAATATGCTAGATAACTTTATTCCTGGAAACTCTGTAGCCTCTGCCCAGGGAACTACAGGCGGTGCTATCAAACTGCCAGTTTCTCACAGTGTGGGTAAGATCTTGGCCCCTCCAGATAAGGCAGGCTATAAAAACCAGTCACAAGGAAAGAGGAGCAGTAGAATAGAAGAGCTTGGTGACTCTTCTAACTCTTTGGTTTTGCTTTTTCCCTTCAGTCTTTACCACTTTTCTAGTTCTGTCTTTCATTCCTTTTCTTAACATGCTGTTTATTGGTCATATTTATATTCAGAGAGAAATGCTTCAAATAATACTGCTATATGGTATGGAAAATTGTATTATGCAATAACTGCCTTTTAGGGAAAGTTTAAGAAGCAATCAAGCATTTAATGTAGCAAGGTCTTCTAGATGCCAGACAGTATAGCTAGCTGGCCTCAGGGATATAAAGAAGGATCACATGATTCCTTTCTTGAAGAACTTAATATTTTTTAGATACTTCATATGGAAAAATTCTGTGATCTTTCAAAAAGCTTCACAGGAATTTACCAAGACCTCCTGGTGGGACAGCTGGAACACCTTGAGTCTGTTTCTGAGAATGAGTGCACATGATGCCAGTATATAAAATCAAAATGGCCCTTTATTAGTTTAAAATAAATCCTTGCTGGCAATAGCAAACAGTCTTCTTCTATTGGTAGATCTTCATGGGAAGCCAAATCGTATTCAGAATGTTACCAGTCAGGTGATGAGAATGAAACATTAAATTTTTGAACATTGGATCATATGTAGCAAAGGAGATGGGGAGGGGCATTTGAGTTGTAAAAGGCCATAGGGATCATTTGGCCTGATTCTCTCTTTTTACGGACAAGAAACCAGTCCAGTGGCCACACATCTATTTATGCTAATACCCAGACTCCCTACTTCCTAATTCATTGCCCTTTCTTATTATATCATGTTGCTTTTGCAGAAGAGTTGGAGTTTGGCTTCACTCAGCCAAGTACTGAATAACATTTAAATAGACTGAAGTGGGGTGTTGTGTATGTGTGCTTGTGTTTATAATCTTAGGTGTAGAAAGCATTATGGGCAACAAAATAAATGTTAACTGAGGCTTCTTGTGTTTCAGGAGAATATTTAAACTACCTTATTTAATCCTTCCAACATTGTATGAGCTAATGACTCTTACTAACCTCATTACGTAAATGAGAATACTGAGATTTAGACTTGCCAGTGTTGAACAGTTAATAAATAGAAGATCTGGGATTCAAACCCAGGTCTTTATGGCTCATTTATTTCTCACAGAAACCTTTCAGGTAATTATTTTTTGTATCTCTATTTTACAGGTGAAGAAATTTAGGCTTAGAGAGTTTAAGAAACTTTTATCAATGTATTAGCTGACTCCCAGACTTGAAAAACATGTGGCAGATTTTCTACTGAATATACCAGTTTGAAAATACATGTTCATTTCTCTTAACTTTGCTATAAAGTATAGCAAAAGTATAATACATATGGACAAAGAGAAGTGCAGAAATGATGGCAGATGAATAAAGCCAACAAAATTCTGGAATATAGAAACCCGTGGACAAGTGGTAACTGACTCAGCTGAACTGAATTCTGAAGTCAAGTGAGGGAGGGGCAAAAAGAAGCAAGCTGATCTGCCCATAAAACCCAGTAAATGTATAGGAATTGGATTCCTGAGATGCCTCTACAGGTGGGGAGTATTATAAAGCTGAAAACTGAAGAATTGTTAGTTTATAGAAGGACATTTAGATACCCATACCCCTACTCTCCACTCCACACCACCTTAAGTCCACGTCCCAAACTGGCTCTAGCAGGCAGCTGGTTTTTCATCATCCCAGCAGAAGGTTGGAGACTTACTCTTTGGAGGTTGAACCACAGACATTCTGGATGCCAGGCATAGCTGGGGATAGAGCTAGGATACCTTGTTGAAAACATGAGTGTCAAGAGAAAGTCTGCTTATTTAATAATGTCTCCTTTTCCCACTACAGCAGATATTGAAAAGCATCTTCTTTGACATCATGGAAAGGATTCCATGAAAACAAATGTGTGTGTATATGTATGATATAATGAGTATGTGTATACTGGTATACAAGTATATATAATATAAGATCTGGCATTATGAGATCACAAGAGAAATGCAAATTACTGTGTGATATTCATAGGTAAGGAGGTGTGCGTTAGATTTCCTTAGAAGGTAGTATATGTGATGTAGACTCTAGGTAGAGTAAGATTTCTATGCTTTTATTACCACCCCCCTGCACTTGAATGAGATTGGCATAAAGTATCCAACAGGGCAGGATTAAAGGAACCCAAAGGATCAATAGACAGAAGACCCTAATAAAGTGGCCTACAGTTATCAACATATGACAAGAGAAAGCCTTTAGCAAGGAAAAAACACATCTTTATGTTAAATTACCATGATTGTAGTCACTTAATGAAAGATTTATTGGCTTGTTATGAAAAGATTGCGTTGCCTTTGAACAGAATATGAAGGATTCTTTTCAGAGTAAAACTTTATGTCTCTCAGCTTTCAACAAGTATTTGTTGAACTGAATTAATAAGACAGTATTTTAGAGAGAAAACAAAAGTTAAACATTAAACAGCATAATTTGTTTTTGAAATTTCTTCCGGAAAGACTGGGGAAACCCCCAGTGTCAGAGCCATTTATTTATAGCTAGACCAAAAAAATCCGTTTGTGGGTCTCTGTCTTCATTGGCCCCTGGGGAGGAGAATCTGACTTTAAAAGGCTTTTTCATTTTTAAAAATTCTCCTTCTTCATGGCATTAAAAACATTCCTATTTAGATTATGTTAACATCATATATTGTTAACATCACTGTACTAAGAATGTATGTGTAACCTACAGAGCACTGGAAATAAAGTTAAAAATCCTAGCTCTGACAATTTACTAGGTAATTTAATCTGTCTGAACATCAGAAGGATACTTATCTTTAAGTGAAGAATGACACCAACATTATAGAAGTCAGTTCAAGATCAGATGTGTGTTACATTAATGTAAAATTCTTTACATTATTACTGTAATTACTTTATACTCTTGAATCACTTTTTTTCTGAGATAAAGAGGAAAGTAGTGAAAAGAGCATGGATTTTGGAATCTCTGGCCCCTCTTTTTCTACTGTATAAAATGGGATTAATCACCTTGTTGGAATTAAATACTGTCACATCTTAAGTGTATAGAATTGTTCATGGTGGCATCATAGAAGCTCAGTAAAAGATTGTTGCTGTTATTTCTTTGTCATATTTTGGAGTTTCTTGGGAGTCAGAATCTCCCAGTGACTTTCAGGACCTGCGGCAAATCAGCACATAGCCTCAGAGGAAAGGCCCTGGGTGAATGTGGAGGGGCTTGATGAGCCTCCTCTCAGGGTTCATAAACCCCTCAAGTCCTGTCTTGATGGTTTGCTTCATCAAGATATCGATGTGTTATATGTTTTGTCCTGTTTTTATAGCATGTTCTGCAGGAGAATTAGTCCTATATAATTCTCGGACATTCAGATACATGTATTTAGATGTACTTTATCGAGGAACAAGTCTTTAGGGTTTACATTAAGATAGGTTAGAAATTGAAAGGAAATTTGGGACTGAAGTGGTAAAGAGGTATCATTTTAATTGAACTATAAAAATGAGTTGTATTAGGGAAAAAATAAAACTATGACAAAGGGTGTATTAAGTGTCAAAGGCCTGAATGAAGAGGGGCTACTTACATACTTATTATTATTACATATTATAATACATAGTGATTAAAAGTATATGCTTAAGAGGCAGGCAGACCTGGGTCTGAATCCCAGATCTGACACTTATTAGTTGTGAGACCTAGGACAAGGTACACAATCCCTCTTAGTCTCAGTTGCTTTAAGTAATAGCACTATCTCATACAAGTATTTTAAGGATTAACGAGCTAATGTGTGTAAAGCTCTTAGCACAGTGCAGTAAGCTTTCAGTACATGTTGGCAGGAGCTGTTAGCTTCCATGTGAGTAGGGCACCTTGGATAAACCAGAGGTTTCAAGTTGAGGTGTAATGGAGTATGGTCAGAAAATATATATAAATAGATTGGGGCTATCTGGTCTGGAATAAATGGCCAAGAGATTTGACTCTAGTTAGAAACTAGAGATGGACTTAAGGTTTTTGAGTAGGTGAATAACATAAATATAGGATTCTAAAGTGACAGTGCTAGAAGATCCCTTAGAGGTCATGATCTAGACTCTTCCTTTCTGAAATGGGGAAAGGGAGACCAAGAGTAGTGACAAAGTAAATTAGCTGCAGAACTGGGTCAGGAACCCAGTCTTAGACCTCTCTTAGTCTCAGCCATGACACCAAAGTAAGTCCAAAGGATTGTTCAACTTTGGTCAAGTGCTTAGAAGATGGGAGTTTCCAGCAGCTTTGGAAAAAAGGGAAGAAGTGTTCAGATTTTGACATGTATTAAATAAAAAGTTTTAAAAATAGTCTTTCCATTGGTACTTT